TGGAAGAAAGAAAAACAATTCTGAAGGAAAGACGGTCATCGATAGTGAAGGTTGGTAGGAAAACTTACCCAAAGAAATATAGCGTGAAATTCAGTTATCTGGAGCTCCAAGATATAAAGCTTTCTTTTGAGCTGCGATCCCCTCCCAGGGATGTCAATCATGCGGCCTTTAGACAAAAAATCCGTCAGTCCGACAAACCGAAGGAGGAGGGGGCGGAGGGTAGAATAATGGGTTGCAATATGGTCCATAAGTTTGAAAGGTTATGCTAGTTTATACGTGGTAATTGGCGAAGATAGTAGGTTAGCGAGAGTTTGTCCGCGTCAGTGTCAAAAACTCATATCCTCCAATTTCGACTTATTCGCTTGCTATTTTCTGTTTTTTGGAAATTAAATCATGCTCTATGTATTGGTATCTCAAGGGCTTTCTACTAAACATACTTCGCATAGAAAGAAGTGGTAAAAAAGAAGACCATTCTTTGCCTTTTCTGTGTTTGGTCGTAAAAATTCTGAAATTTGCAATAAAATCGAGCAGTTGTATAAGTTTTATTTCCCGCTTTCCGTGCAAAGTTGTGCAAAGTTTGTGCTGACTGAGAGTCTTCATAGTTATGATTTGCGAAAAAAAGCTAAAAAAGTCAAACTCGCTGTTTTACACTGCTTGTTTATAATCAAAGCTTTCAAAGATGTTACTGCGCGCGAGCTTCCCTTAGCAGCAGAAGGGAATTAACCGGTACAGCTCCGATTTTTCTGCAAGCTCCGTGAATTTTTACGACCCAACATAAAAATCAAAAGTTCAGTATTTAGCTATGGTTATCTGTGCGATGTGTAGTGGGAGGCGTTAAGTCGTTGACAATTTACTAGAAAAAGCAAAAGGCCCCCACACACGTAGGCATATATGTATGACGCGGGTTCACTAGAATGAATACAACAATCAACACAACGACACGTAACTATCAAAACGCGGCGGATTCGCCGCCGCCACAAAGGTTGCTTATGCCTAACAGATATCAATAATGAGAGAACTCCGATATAAAATGAACAGTTCTACAACACCTCCGTCCTAAGATGGACAACCATACATCTCAAATTGTGCTTCCACTTTGAGACGATTTCGAGGTAGGCGTTGGCGACTAGATCGTGATAATGACGAGTCGCGAAAGTGGCTGTTTGCTCCGTGCTGTTGTCCATTCATGAGTTGGCACATCGAGTGGACTGGTGCGCCAACCCATACTTGCTCCCTTGCGCATCTGATTTGCTCCACATCTGACGGCCTTCCATAAGCTCTCCATACATTGCTCGTTCATTGTTTCTCACGTAAGCTTATTTTTGCTCTAAATTTTTCAAATTCAGAGCTAAGCATGAACACAGACGACTTCTTCGGATTGGTATTCTTTCTTCTGTGCTCCGTGATGCTGGTTAAACCTTTCCATTGTTTCGTTGTTCCTTCTTCTTTCTACATTATCCTCTTCGGTCTTTTCATTCATCAATGAGCGGTTCCTCACTTGACGTCCCAGCAGTAGCTCGGCTGGAGAAAACTGTCCAAGAGTAGATGTAGACGGCGTTTTTCGATAGCAC